GCTCTTCCCGGGCGAGGCAGATCAGTCGCCGGCTTCTGGACGGCTGCTCACTGCGGCTGCTGGCCGCTCACGCTGGCTGCTGTCTACACATAGTAGCCCATGGCAACCCACTGCAGCAGGGACTGCAGCCTAGCCATCCCCGGAGACTCACGGCAGCCCAACTCCAGGTTGAGCTGTTGTTCAGCATCTTAGCTGTAGAGGGCAGTGTCACTGACTCTCATAAGTGAGATCCGAACCAGGCCCTCTGGCGTCCCAAGCCAGCTCTTAACCATCGCGCCACTCGGCCGACCCTCTAGTGCATTCTTTATTTCAGTTATTGTATTCTTCACTTCTGACTGGTTCTTTTTTATGGTTCCTATGTCATTCCTTATGTTTGCTATCTCTTTGTTGAAGTTATCACTATGTTCTTTGAGCATTCTTATAACCACTGTTTCGAACTCTGTCTCTGATAGGTTGCTTTCCTCCATTTTGTTTAGTTCCTTTTCTGGAGTTTTCTCCTGTTCTTTCATTTGGGATGTATTTCTTTGTTTCCTCATTTTGGCTGCCTCTCTGTATTTGTTTATATGCATTAGATACATCTGCTATGTCCTCCAGTCTTGGCCAGGTGGCCTTACGTAGTAGGTGTCCTGTGGAGCCCAGTGGCACAGTCTCCCTGGTGACCTGAGCCAGGTGCTCCAGGAGTGTCCCTTGTGTAGGTTGCATGTGCCCTCCTGTTATAGTTAAGTCTTGATAGCTCTTGGCACTTCAGTGGTTACAATTCACCCTCAGGCTGACTGGCTGTAGGGCTTGGCCATGTTCACAGCTTATGGGCTGTTGTGTGGGGGCTTACCTCACTGAGTGGGATTGCCCCAGTGGGCTCTGATGCTTGTTGAGACTGCCCTCTGTGTATGCCACCTGTGGGATAATTGGATGGTGCTCTGCTGTGGTCTGAAGCCAACCTCCAAGTATGTTGTTTCTGGCACCTCTTGGGAGGGGCTCCAGTGCAGGCCCAGGTCATCCACTGCCAGTGACCAGCCAGAGTACCTAGTAAGAGTTACAGAGTGATCCACAGTTGTTCATTCACTGTCTGTGTGGACCTGGAGGCATGTGGCAGGGGCCACACTGTAACCCGAGGATGGCTGCCACCAGTACCAGGCCTGGGGTAGCTCTGCAAAAAGCCAGGACACCCGGAGGCTTGCAGCCACCTGTTGGTTTCCTTAAGGTTCAGCCACTGATGAAGCTTCATGTAGTATGTGAGTTGGTGAGGCAGGGCCTCAGCGAGTCACTAGAGTGGAAATAATTGTGGTCACCTGGTTAATGTAAATTCTGGTTTGGTGTCAGTGCTAAGCCTGGAGCAACTCAGCAAAAGTCTCAGAGCATGCCGAGGTCTGTCACCGCCTGCCTGGGGCTTGCCAGACTCCCATAGTTTTCCCAGAGGGCAATGTGGGCGGGGCTGGCTGCTCCCAGAGAAAGTGTCTCCAGTGGTGCTAGCGTTGAGTGGAATGTGGTCCCAGTTGAGTCAGCAATGTGGAGCAGCAGAGCTCACCAGGCCAATCCAATTCAGATTTGGCTTGTGTAGGCAGGCTCAACATATGAAAGATGGCGCCCACCTACCAGCTGCATCAAAGGTTAACTCCTCACCAGGACAACTGTCCTCCAGTCCTCCCCCTGCAGCCACACAACTCAGTCTGCACCCCCATATGTTTCTGAGACCTCCTGAGTCACTGTCCCTCCTCTGGAACCCAAGGTGAGTGCCTGCAAGCGAGTGAGTCTGTGCAGGCCAATTAAGAGGATGTCTGGGTTTCCAGCAGCTTTCTAGCCTACCCAAATGGTTGGAAACCAAAATGTTTTTCACAGCCAGAATTTGTGGGGACTCCTCTTCTCGGCACCAGCACTCTGGGCTAGGGCTCCTGGTGTGGGGGGCTGGTGTCCCTAGCTCTTCTGGGGGGAACCAAGGTGGCCTGGATATCCCTCCTGATCCCCAACCACCACACAACAGGAGTGAGTCCCATTCCAAGTCTCTGCCCCTCTTATCAGCCTCAGTGTGGCTTCCTCTTTAAATTTTTAGTTATAGGACTTCTGTTTAGCTAGACTTCAGATGGTTCTCCAGGGTGATTGTTCTATAATTTAGTTGTAATTTTAATGTGTTCATGGAAGAACATAGGCACAGTGTTTATCTTCTCCATTATTGTGGCTCTCCAGAAAATTATTTTTAAAGCAAACAAATCTTATATTATTTACTAGTCAATCTGAGGTAGCTAATATTAAAAGCTGATGCAAATTCTTCAAAAACCTCTCCTATATTTCATCAACTTCTTTGTCAATAAATACCACATCTACTCCAAAATTTTCATGACTATAAAGTGTTCTATCATGTGACATGATTTAAGGTTTTGGTTACACATTTTTGTTTTACACTTTTATTCATCACTGATTAACTGTAACTTTTCCCTCTTAGAAGGGCAATGCAATGAACATCATTGGGGTTCTACAACTCCTTAATTATTTTATTATGTTAAATTTTCAGATGTAAAGTTTCTTGAAAAATGACAGACATAGGTTCAATTTATATTTATTTATTATATATGTTATATATGTATATAATATATAATATAATATAATATAATATAATATAATATAATATAATATACAATATATTATATATGATGTGTATATAATATATATGTGTGGAAAGACTGTAACTACTATTTCTACTCTTGCAAGTATTGTGTGACAGATGTTTTATCTGCATTTCTTTGATTACTAATAAGGTTGAGATGTTTATATTTTTGTTGGCTATTTGTACTTATGGACATATTTATCAGTTTTATTTCTTTTGTGAATTGCCTGTTTATATTATTTGCTCATTTTAATTGGAGTACTGATTACACATTACTAATGTTTAACAGTGTTTTCTATATTAATTGTATGTTTTATATGTAGCAAATATTTTCCCAATTTTTGATTTACATTTTGGTTTTTGATGATGGAATTCAAATATATAAAGTTATGCCAAAAATTCTTGTTTACCTCAATGTTATAGAAACATTCACCTACATTTATACTACTTTCATTTAAATGTAAATTTTATTCAGTTGGAATTTACTTTTTTGGGAGATGAAAGGAAGGTGATCTTAACATACAAATAGCACACAGATATGAAATATCATTTAAAAATATTAATGACTATATAATCTTGGATCTTTTTCTAATCTCTTCCACATGTCTAGCAGACTATTTGTAAAGTGGAACCATCTGTATTTATTTCAAAAATTGTTTAGCTATTCCTAAATATTCTTAACTATATATTTCATCTGTCTAATATACCATTTATTAGTCACTGTCAAAATAATTTTTATGAATAACCCACCAAGTTATATTGAAATCTTAAATAAGAAATTTTAGATTTGACAAAGTTTTAATTTTGCTGTGTCTTTTTGGAGTGTGGTAAGTGAAACAAATTTTACTCCTAAGATCAGTGTCAATTTAAATGCTATTTTCTTTAAAAAGAAAAGAAAGAAAGAAAGAAAAAAAAACCCCTAATGTTGAAAAGGATAACTTCTAATTTAATAGAGATGAAAAGAATAGCTTCTAATTTAATAGAGATGAAAAGAATTTCAGATATAAATCCAAAATCTGTAGAAAAAGGAGGAATACTTTTAATAATAAAGACTCATACATACTGTGACTTTTCTTCCTAAGTAAGATTCAGTTATCTTGATATTGCTGGTTACACTTTGGCTCTTTACAAATAAATATGGCTGTGATTCATGTAGCTGACCACCGCACATATCGAAAGTAACTACATCACCTTCCTCTTTGGCAACAAACCCGCAGTTACATGACACAGGATAGTGAAGGCTTCCACAGTCCCATTGACGTACATGGACTTCAAAATCACGTGACATACTCTTATAGAGTACAAATGTTCCAGTCTTGAAATTATCATATACCCTATCATTAATAAAAGTAAACTGCATTAAGAATGGATGTAAAATATCACAATAGAATGTTATAAACCAAAAATGTGCGTTAAATTTTTATACATATTTAATATATACACCTTTAATGCAAGAATGAGAAGTTATATTTATAATGGCATTATAGATCATGAGAATTTATGTATAGGGCGCTGAATGAAACCAAATATTGATAAACACTTAAATCTCTGTCACTATACTTCTATTTCACCACTTCAGCCAACACCCATTTCCAGCTTTCGCTTCCACCCCTGCTTTAGTTTTCCTCAGAGCACCCATCTTCCTCAGATGAACTATATGTTTTATTTATTAATTGTGTATATCTCTCTTTGCTTCTACAAAGCTCAGTTCTATGAGGGTAGTTTTTGTGTGTTTTGTTCACTGCCATACACCCTGGACTCAGTACACTGTCACTTAGTTGTTGCACAATTAATCTTGTTGGATTATAATGGATTAAATTAACTGCCACTATGCTTTCCTGAGATTTTCCACTAAAATTTCTGAGGCTTTAATTATAACCATAAAGGATTCTTGCATGTGGGACCAGTTCTGACAACTTTTCATATTTGTTCAAACTTTTGAAGTATCACTTTTCGTTGGAGAGGATTTATATCTATTCACTAATGTGGGATAATTTTACTCACAATAATCTCATTACAGTTTTAAAAATAGAATAAATTACCTTGCATCATGAATAAAATTTTGACTCAACAATGTGGTGTTCTTATCATTTTCTCTTTTTTTTAAAAAAGATTTTATTGGGGAACTGGGGGCGGGGAACAGTGTTGGGGAATTGGGGGAGGAGGACCAGCCAAGAAGTTGTTCTTCAATCTCTTTTGTGGAGGGCGCTGGTTGCCATCTGGCTTCCCATCAGCAGCTCGTGGCCTCTAAGCTCAAGGTGCTGTGTTCAATCTTAGCTGCAGGTGGGCGTAGCCACCATCCCATGAGGGAGTCGAACCAGCAGCCTTGTTAAGAACACACACTCTATCCACTGAGTCATCCAGGTGGCAGCGCAGCTAAAGGTGCCAAGTTCAGTCTTAGTTGCGGGTGGGCGTAACCCACCATGAACAGGCAGTCTTGTTCTTACGCCAGCTGAGCCATCCTGCCACCTGTTGGCAGCTCAGCAACAGCTCAGCTCCAGTGCAGTGTCACTGGCCCATGTGGGAATCAAATCGGCGGCCCTGTTGCTCAGAGCTCATGCTCTTAAGCCAACTTCTAACCAACTGAGCCATTAGGCCGGCCCCTGTCCTTATCATTTTCTTTAGGGAGATCTTAAATCATAAATTCCTTAGAACAGTATAACTGAATTTAAATCCTTCTATGCAGATATTAATAGTAAGATAGCTTAGATTGCTTTTTGGTCATTTTGCCCATTTTACTTTAAGTTCCGGAGGCAGATATCCAGGTGTTCATAGCTACAATAGTTTTTCCCCTGAGTATCCTTGCCATTAATTAGATGTGATTATTTTTTTAAATAATTGTAATGTGTTAGTTACTCTTCTTAAACCTTAAAGATTATTTCAATATCATGTAGAAATGCAATATCAGTAAATAGCTCTAGAGCAAATAATTTAATTATTATTAAAAATAGTCAAGCTAAAATAATTGTCTGTATTTGTAAGTATCTTCATTTTTACAAGTTTAGCCTCAAAATTGATCCACATATTTACAAAGAACTAGATTTTAAAGAAAAAACATTCCACACAAATAAATCAGCATTTTGAAATAAGCCAGTGATGTCCATACATGCCTTCCTTTCTAATCTTTCAGTGAATAGGACTAAGAAGTAATAAGTAGTATTATGTTTAAACAACAAAAACAACAACAAAATCCAAAAGAAACACAGACTACTAAAAGTAAAAACTTTTAGGAAATTACCTGCCATCAAATGTAATTATATGTGGGTCAGTAAATGAATAGCAGTAAGCAGTTGGGACATCCTTTACTCTGATCTTAAAAGCAAACATATTTTCAGTAAATATTATCATTAATTGTCATTTAGAGATTTACAATAAATTGCTTAGCAATCTCAATGAATTTTCAATTATTTTTATCCTAGCTATTGCAAATGAAATCATTTAATAATTGAAGTAACTTTAAATAATTTGGAAATGAAAATTTACAAGGTATAGTGATAAAATATACGTATCTTTTTTAACGCTTCAATTATAGAGATATTTTTGTAATTTGTCAACCTGGATGCTGTCTGGAACGTAGCTGTTCCACAGGAAATCTTCATTAACTATAGGTTCCACTATAATGTCTGTAATTCTATTTCCATCTCGAGAAAAATCTGTGATAGCAGTATAGTACACAAGAGCATGGCTGCAGGTTCCGTTAGCACAGGATGTCTGGTGAAGGTCCACGTGACAGGAAGACAATGCCAAATTTAAACCTAAGTGTTCTTTACCTTTTAATGAAAAAAAAATACATTGAAAATTTTCTAAGGGGGTATTTCAAAGCATGTACTAACTTGATTTACATGGAACACTGAATTGAGAGATTATTCTAAAATTATTTTCTCTTACTTAAAACATTTTTGTTTTAAGTAGTTTTTGTCTGAGCTGTTGAACTCCACATCCTGATCTATACAAATAATTAATCAACTTCAATATATGTATATATAGATGTATATGCATATTATTATTTCCAATAAGGTTGTAAATCCATATGCATCCAGATATAATTCAAAAGCAATGTATAAAGCTCATTTTTGTTTCTGTAAAAAAATTATAATTCTAGCACTGAGTAACATAATTTGATTTTTCTTTCCCCTAAGAATTGGGCCTTGGGTCCAGATATGTTTGTAACATTTCTTAGGGTTTGCAGTTATGTCTATCCATTGCTGAGTGATAGCAATGATTATCAATACAGAGTTCATCATACCGGTTTATTGTTGATACAGGGTTCACCATCTTAAAAAATAGAAAAATCAAAACAAGTTAAGGCAATTCCACACCAGTAGGAAACTCTCTATGTCTTTTCACCTCCCAAATGTCCCAATATATTCAGAATCTCAAGATGTTCCCTTGCCTATGGAACAAAGAACACACACAAAAAAACAATTTAGAAAGAAAATGGCAATAGAAGAGAAGGAAGGAACTCCAGGAATTTATATAACTAAACAAAAAGGATAGATTCCTCTGAAAATTGGCTACAAAGAACGTCTGCTCACATATCCAACTAATGATTACAAAGTCCTTCTGAGAATCAAGGAGGAAGAAAGAAGTTGTTAAAAACTTTTTTTTCCACACATCATTTTCAGGTATAAAATTATATTTGTCTAACAAAGGGACACTGCACTAGATTAGAAATTCTTGAAAAAAGTTTCTCTTTATGTATTTTTTAGGAATATGTATTTTTATTATACAATTAAAAGATAACAGAAACATTCAAACTCTTAACCAGTTCCCTGAAGAGCATATGGAACAGAGCAGGCTCAGATGTAGCCCCTGATATCATTCCCACCCTCTATGGCCTCAGGGCCAAGTATTGTTTCTCCTTAAGCCCATGAAAAAGCAACTTAATCTTGGCGGAAATACACTAGAAGACACCAACTTAGTCTCTGTGAAAGTGAGAAGTGTTATGGAAATATAGTTAAAGAATATTAGATGAGAAATAGCCAGAATGAAATCCAGAAAATTTCCTCTGGAAACAAAAAGGAAATTATTTTTTATTGCCAAAGAAAAAGAACATGAAAACTTCTAAATTGCAGGAATACATTTAAGCAGTTTTATGTCACTATAGCAATGCTAGTGTTGTTGAAAGAATTGAGAACACACAGATATAGTTTAAAGTGTATTTGCAACTGAAAGAAATCTTTGCCTAGTGCAATTTTGGAATATATCAATAATATCATCCTCTCCCTGTTGTCCCTCATAAGCTGTAGTAAAAGTTGCACCATATGCTCTTTAGTAGTAGTTTGAAGTTGAATTGTGGCAAACAGTCTGAGAACGGAGGGTTTAATTTTGTATTTCTGGGCTGTATTTCAAACTATAGTGTTACTCATGGTGCTCCTGATAGTTGAGTGAGTAGCTGGGTATTATCAGCTAAGCCTGTTTACTGTCAAGCATCTTAGAATAGCCTCTCTTGATTCCTCTTTCTATCTCCATATTATCTGTTTTCCTGGGTGTATTATTCCCATGAGTCAGTCTCTCCCTCTCTCTCTCTCTTTCTCTCTCTCCCCCCAAGCATTTTTATCCTTTTGTTTCTCTAAATTAATTAGGGATAATATAGACATGAAGACCTAGATACATTGTATTTGGTGTATTTACTGAACAAAATTTTATATCCTATGGTGAAAAGGTATGCAAGCAGAATTGTGATTTCTTTTAAAGACTATATTTTAATTTATCTCTTAGCGTGCATTGGTCTCTACCTCAGAAGCTTATGGAGACAAAAAGAACCCAATCAACCATATCACTGCAATACATGGTTTGTCCCCTCGTATTTCTTTGTTCTATAGGAGAATTTCAGCTCTATACATGGCTGTGACAGTGACATATAAGTGGCCGTATGTCATACAATCTATAAAATCAGTAATCTAAGTAGAAGACTTTTAAAACAAAAGCTCTCAAACATACTCTCATGTTAGAGAAGCGCGAAGGCTGCGTTGTGCGATCCATGGTGCATACGCTTGAACTTTCAGCATAACTTATCACGCCACACTCATTAGGGACGATTTGGAAAATGTTAAAGAGCAGTTTGTTCCTCAATCTCTCAAAGCGAAGCATAGGGAAGAATAAGCAGGAAGGTGAGGAGAAGGGAAGGAGGAGAAAAATGAGGAAAAGGAAGCGAAACGAAAGGAAGAAGAAGAGGAGGATATTATACTTTGAGTCCAGGAGGGATACACATGTTGCAATATTGTAAGGCTCTTGGCCCAGACTCTAGGCCGGACAGACTCACTTTTAAAAATTATACTTCAGCTACTCCAGCTAGACTGTAAGCAGAACTTCCCGTTAAGACAATATAAATGCCTAGCTTTACAAGAAATGGGTTGCAACAGAAATATTAAGAATATTTTGCAGAAGTAGTTTTGCCCAACTGGCTTAGACCATTTCACAGGAACTAACAGCTCTTTTTGCTTCTGTACACCTGCTTTGCTTCTGCTGGGGAATAAAAGGTTAAAGAACGACATTCCTCAGGCCTTGCAGTTCCCCCTTCCTCTCCACGCCTTCATGTTAACATTTCAGGAGGCCTTAAAGCAAACTAACTTTATCAACCCGGTTGCAATGTACTGTTAAGACAAACTGGACATAACAACACTGTTGCAACAGCGGGATGCGGTTTTAACTAAAATAACTACACATTCTTTTCAGCTTCTGTAATTTACTTTACGTTTAACCCCCACCTTATAAAAACCCTACCCACTGAGACCTCGGGCCCGTTTTCTCCTTAGTCAGAGGAGCGGTCGCTGAGCTCAGCTTAATAAAATCTTTGGAACGTTAAACTTTAATTTGACACCCAGCCTCTTTATTGATTATCTGGACCCAAAAATATGAATTGCTCTGGCAAGCATAAATTTTCCTCAGCATTATGAATATGATTGAGCTATAATTTGATGTAAACATGCAACCTAATTAATGATAAGAGTACACTTCAGTGACTTTCTCTAGGGGAAAAAAGAATTAGCTATTATTTGAAATCTAATAATAAAATTCAGTGGATTTAGTATATTACCTTGATCCACAGTTTTCAGCTTTAATGAGATTTTGCATTCCTGATCAAGCTCCCTGAATTCAGGACAAACGACAGGAACGGTGCTCTCTATCCTCAGCTGGTATTCTTTGCCATCTTCTGATATAGTGCTGGATTCAGGTTGTAACTGGTATAAGAAAACATGTAGAGCAGTTCTGTAAAAGTAGAATTTATTTCTAAGATACAATCATCTTGAAGGGCTTTTTTTTCCTCCTCAACAGCTCATGTATTGTTAAATGAGCTGGTAATAATAACTTAAGCACTAGAATTTTTGAATTACACAAGAGCAATTAAAATCCTTAACAATATTGGCACTGCCCAGAGGAGTACATAGAGTCACTGTATTGATCTGAGTTTGGGCACAACTTTGTTCCCCAACATGACAGGCAGCCTGGTTGGAACCTGCCTTAGTGATTTTGTTTCTATAGTGGGGACTGGAGACTGGAGAAGACAGAAAGATTCCAATGTTTTTCTGTTTGTTTACTAATGTTTACTGACACAGCAATGGAAGAGTCTATTTGTCCTTAGAAATTAATGCCATCTGCAATTTAAATTAGAAACCTAAGCATTTTTTTAACACAGACATCAAAACATTATTGTCGCCTGCAATATCTCAATCTTCAGCTTATTTCTCAGCCTCTGCTTTCACAGGTGGATTCACTGAGTACTGAACTCCAGGACTGGTCCTATCCCAGGCCAATTCTTCTCTGTGGCAGGTAGTTTTTAGGCAGTCTCAGCTCTTGGCTAGCTCTCAAAACAGGTGGTTCCTTTTTTTTTCTTTTCTTTTTTTTTTTTCTTTAGTTTCAGGTGTACAAAACAATGTGATAGACATTTCACCCCTCACAAGGTGATAACCCCCCCAATCTACCACCCCTCTGACACTGAATATAGCTGTTACAATTTCATTGACTATATTCTTTATGCTATGTTCCACGTTCCGTGACCATATATAATATATATCTGACATTTTATTTTATTCAGCTTCAGTTTCAAGTGTATAGCACAGTGGTCAGGCATCTACACGGTCTATGAAGTATTCTCCCTAATAAGTCCAGTGCCCACCTGACACCCTACATAATCTTTACAACATTATTGATTATATTCCCCAAACTGTATTTCATATCCCTGTGGCTATATTGTGACTACAAATTTGTACTTTCTAATCCCTTTACCTTCTCCCTCATCCCCATCCCCTCCCACCTAGCACCCATCAGTTTTTTTTCCCCTCTATCTATGAGTCTATTTCTGTTTTGTTTGTTCATTTATTCTGTTCTTTAGATTCCACATATAAGTGAGATCATATGGTATTTGTCTTTCTCCGTGTGACTTATTTCGCTTAGCATAATATTCTCTAGGTCCATCCATGTTGTTGAAAATGGTAAGATTTCATTCTTCTTTATGGCTAAGTAATACTCCATTGTAAAAATGCACCACAGTTTCTTTATCCAATCATCTATTGATGGGCATTTCAGTTGTTTCCATATCTTGGCTATTGTGAATAGCGCTGCAGTAAACACAAGAGCGCATATATTTTTTCAAATTAGTGTTTTGGATTTCTTTGGATAATTACCCAGGAGTGGAATTGCTGGGTCATAAGGTAGTTCCATTTTCAATTTTTGGGGGTTCCTCCATACTGATTTCCATAGTGTCTGCACCAATCTGCAGTCCCACCAACAGTGCACAAGGGTTCCCTTTTCCCCACAGCCTCGCCAGCACTTGTTGTTTGTTAATTTATTGATGATAGTCATTCTGACCGGGGTGAGGTGGTATCTATCTCATTGTGGTTTTTATTTGCATTTCTCTAATGATTAGTGACATTAAGCATTTTTTTCATATGTCTGTTGGCCATCTGGAATTCCTTTTTAGAGAAATGTCTTTTCATGTCCTCTGCTCATTTTTTAATTGGGTTGTTTGTTTTTTTGGTGTGGAGTTATATGAGTCTTTTATAAATTTTGTATATTAACCCCTTGTCAGATGTGTCATTGGCAAATATTTTCTCCCATTTAGTAGGATGCATTTCTTTTTATTGATGGATTCCTCTGCTGTGAAAAAAAACCTTTTAATTTGATGTAATCCCATATGTTTATTTTATCTTTTGCTTCCCTAGCCCGAGCAGATATATCAGTAAAAAATATTACCAAGGGCAGGGCTGGCCCAGTGGCTCAGTTGGTTAAGAGCTCACTCAAGAGTGCGAGCTCTGAGCAACACGGTCACCAGTTTGTTTCCTGGCCCAAGCTGAGCTGCCAACAGGTGGCAGGATGCGCCAGCTAAAAGAAAAAAAAAAAATATATATATATATATATATTTTATTACTAATATATATATTATATATTATATATATATAATATATATATATATATATATTACTAAGAGTAATGTCTGCAAATTTACTTCCTATATTTTCTTCTAGGAGTTTTATGGTTTCAAGTCTTACATTTAAGTCTTTAATCCATTTTGAATTTATTCTTGTATATGGCATAAGAGAGTTGTTCAGCTTCATTTTTTTTTAATGTGTCTGTCCAGTTTTCCCAGCACCCTTTATTAAATAGGCTGTCTTTACCCCAATGTAAATTCTTGCTTCTATTGTCATAGATTAAATGACAATATAGGCATGGATTTATTTCTGGGCTCTCTATTCTGTTCTGTTGAGCTATGTGTCTGTTTTTGTGCCAATACCATGCTGCTTTGATTACTATAACCGTGTAGTGTGATTTGATATCAGGTAGTGTGATACCTCCCACTTTGTTTTTATTTCTCAAGATTGCCATAGCTATTTGGAGTCTTTTATGGTTCCATATAAATTTTAAGATTATATGTTCTGGTTCTGTGAAAAATGTCATTTGTAATTTGGTAGGGATTGTGTTGAATCTATATATTGCCTTAGGTAATATGGACATTTTAATTAAATTAATTCTTCCTATCCATGAGCATGGTATATGTTTCTGTTTATTTGTATCTTCTTTAATTTCTCTCTTCAGTGTCTTATAATTTTCTTTTACTTCCCTGGTTAAATTTATTCCTAAATATTTTTTAAAGCAATTGTAAGTGGGATTGTTTTCTTAATTTCTTCTTCTGATAGTTTGTTATTGGTGTATACAAATGCAACTGATTTCTGAATATTAATTTTGTATCCTACTACTTTACTAAATTCATTTATCAGTTCTAGTAGTTTTTTGGTGGCGTCTTTGAGATTCTCTCTATATAGTATCATGTCATCTGCATATAGTGACAATTTTACTTCCTCCTTTCCAATTCAGATGCCTTTTATTTCATTTTCTTGTCTAATTGCTGTGGCTAGAACTTCCAGAACTATTTTGAATAAAAGTGGTGAAAGTGGGCAACCTTGCTTGTTCCTGATTTTAAGGGGAAAGCTTTTACCTTTCCCCCATTGAGTATGATGCTAGTTGTGGATTTAACATATATGGCCTTTATTATGTTGAGATATGATCCCTCTAGTCTCACTTTGCTCAGAGTTTTTATCATAAATGGATGCTGGATTTTTTTCAAATGCTTTTTCTACATCTATTGATATGACCATATGATTTTTATTTTTCATTTTGTTAATGTGGTGTATCACATTAATTGATTTGTTATTAAACCAACCTGGCATACCAAGAATAAATCCCACTTGGTTGTAATGTATGATCTTTTTAATGTATTGCTGAATTTGGTTTGCTAATATTTTGTTGAGGATTTTTGTATCTATGTTCATTAGGGATATCGGCCTATAGTTTTCTTTCTTTGTAATGTCTTTGTCTCATTTTGGGATCAGGGCAATAGTAGCCTCGTAAAATGAACTTGGGAAACTTCCCTCCTTCTGGATGTTTTTGAATAGTTTGAGAAGAATAGGTGATAATTCTTTTTTGAATGTTTGATAAAATTCACCTGTTAAGCCATCTGGTCCAGGGCTTTTGTTTGTTGGGAGCTTGCTGATTACTGATTCAACTTTATTGGTAATAATCAGTCTGCTCAGATTTTCTATTTCTTCTTGATTCACCCTTGGAAGATTGCATACTTCTAGAAATTTATCCATTTCTTCCAGATTGTCTAATTTGTTGGTGTATAAGTTGCTCATAGTATTCCTAAATTTTTTTGTATTTCTGTGGTGTCTGTTGTCACTCCTCTCTTTCATTTCTGATTTTATTCATTTGGGTCCTCTCTTTTCCTTGATGAGTCTGGCTAAAGGTTTGAAAATTTTATTTATCTTTTCAAAAAGTCAGCTCTTGAAAACAGGTGTTCCTTAATACAGAATACTCTCCCTGTTAGCCTAATCAGAAACAGTACCTGGTGGCTTACCACTGGCCCTAATATTTTCTATTGAGTTCTCCCAAGATAGATCCAAAGATTCTGTATTCCCAAGGTCTGAGCTCTGCTTGCCCTCCCACTGTGGCTATGCTATTCTGACAGCACAGTTTACTCTTCTCCCTTTTCCTGATCCCTGTTGTGTATAAATGGTCTTTATTCAGGATCAGGCTTTTTCCTGGTTCTGAGTCTTAGTCTCAGAATTTATCAATTATCGCATCTTGTCCCTGAACTAGAGATGAGTCCGGTCAAACTCCAGTTCCCTAGCTGAGACCTCAGAGGGTGCCCTGCACTTGCCTGACTAGACCTTGTGGTACTGCCTCACTCCTTCCACCACTCAGGATTCCCTGTCATCTCTAGTCATCTGCGGGAATAGCTCATCAGTTCCTGGTCACCAGTGCTACCAGCAGTGACCACAGATACTCCTTTGTTTACCTGGCTTAATCTTTGCAGTTCATAAAGTCCAGATTTCTGGACCAATTCTACTTTAGCCAGAGGCTCTAGTACTTGACCTGGTACCTGTCTTACAAAATTCATGATAACTAAATATTGATACTCCAACTTTTATTTACCTGATGGAATAAATTATGGAAATAGAGCTTATGCTTTATTCTAATTTGAGCTATTTCTGAAAAAAATGCTAATATATTCCAAGTTTAGTTTAACAGGGGCCCTCAATCTCTGTTGTGCATTAGAATTATTGGGGTTATTTTCAAAAAATGTAAACTGTTGGGTCCCAACATTTAGTCTGTGATAAGATCCTAGAGTCAGCATTAACAATCAAAATATGAAAACACAGTTTCAGAGGAATAATCTTTCTTATCCATTCCCACTCCTACATACCTTAATGCCTGCAAAAAATTCTTGGCTTTCGATTGCTGAACTTTGTACATCTGGTTTCTCCAAGAAAAAGATGGAAGCAGTACAGAATATCTATAAATATGGTTAAGAAATAATCATTTAGCAATAAAATTATGGAGGAAATATGTATAAGTTATTGTTTAAGTTCATAATTTTAACTTCTAGTAGATAGCACATAAGATATAACTAAATAATTTTAAAACCTTGCTTAGAAATTTTTAAAAAATCTATCTTCATATAAATATTAATTATTTAAACATCAACAAAATTAGTATTGTAAACTTTGTATTTAAGATGTATTTAAAAGTGGATAATAAGTGATACCATCATTGAAAAAATGAAAATATTGTTTTCTAGAATAAAAGTATATCATTTTAAAACCAGAAAGAGACCTAAAATTACAAGGTTCCTTGATAATAATCAGTTAATTGTTAGAAAAAGATACTCATAGTCACTAAGATTACTCACTCATCCAGTTGTCACTGGAGTTGGCACAATAGCCAAGGAAAAAGAAAAAGGAAAACATTAATGTTTTATATTATGGGGACAAAAGCTATTTTTAGGATCTGATTAAAAAATCCATTTTTGAAAATTAATACATTCGTGGAAAAAAAAAAAGAAAGAAAAGAAAACCCAGTTGTTTTTTAACATACCCTGTCTCCAAGTCTGAGATTGATGCCATCCAGTTCTAAAAGAGAGAATGCCTGAACTGTGGTCTCTTGCTTCAGCTCCTCTTTGATTTCTTGAAAAGAAAGCCTAGACCAGACTATGAGAAATCCCACTGAGTTGCTTGTAGGGGAAACATCAAAAGTACACCTACAGAAAACCTTAGACTCAATCAGCTCCACCACAACCTCAGGCCTTCCTGGAGGCGGTGGTGGCAAAGAGGCAGACATCTGACCTGCTGAGAAAGAACGCATAATTTGTAAATGGCATCTCAACAAATGGAGACTGCTTATGGGAAAAACTCACAAAGACTAACTCAGAGATTTATATTAAGAAAAAGTAAAATACATTTAGAAAAACAATTATTCTCTAGCAATCAGCAAAGTAGCACATTCTTATATTGACCTATAATTACATAAATATTGATAGCAGAGAAATTTATCAGCTAAACCCCCTTAGATAAATGCATGTTGATTATGACTACCATTGAAAAATCTAGCTCTTGAACACAAAAGTAATTTACCTTCTTTTAAGTTACTGCCTTTTCTAAAAGGTGAAACAAAACAAATAAATTCAAGGTTTTCTACATTATAATTTGTTGTGATAAAGAAAAGTAGTCACTATAACATAAAATCAAATGACTTATTTTACTCTTATAATTTATTATTATTATAACTCAACCCGTCACTATCTGGATTGAAAGAGCTGCTCCTTATGAAAATGATTATACTGTGTTACCAAACTATGCAAGTGTTAAGTCTTAATCTTTTGATTTTTCTGAGGTTAAAAATGTTTGATGTTTCCTTTAGGAACTCAGAGAGATTTTACAATTTTTATCTTTGGACATTTGCAAGATTAAATTTGGGCATGTAAAATGTTTCTGAATGAGTTGTTTATTTGGTTTACTCTGTTTTTGAAAAGAGGAAAATATCTAAATGATATATTTTAAAAGTAAGATTTTTAAAATGTGCCAATATTTTTTCTATGATGTACATGGGAATTTTATGATAATCACAATATTAACTTTTCAGTCCTGTAATAAAGATTTTGGAAAATTCTGAGAAACTATAACCTAACTGTGCAGGAAAAACCTTACATATTTTCAAATATTTTAAAGTGTTTTTTTATTAGATATTAGATTACAAAAATCCCAATAACAAATGAATTGTTTTCAAATTAATCTAAATAACAAATATTTTGTCAAACATTTTAAACATTATGCCAAATCATCATATTCAGATTTTAAGAAAATAATAACTTCTAAGTATGTATTTTTTAAAAATTATATATCTTAGTGAAAATTCTTTCTTAAAAAACTGGGAAAAAGAAGTTGAATTTATTTTTAAACAGAGAAAAGCTATCTATGAAAATGATTATTAGGAAAAAGAGATTACAAATGGCTGAAAAGTAAGTAATTTATGAAAATTAAAAATTTAAAATCAATTATTTTAAATCGCATCAACTCTCTAGGTGATCTGATCATTGCTTGCAACAAAATAGATCAGAGAAAAATTTTTAAAAGCTTTAAAAAATGACAAATAAATTATTTCTGCTTGAAAAGTACAATGATCTATTTGTCAATTCTAATATTAGCATATGCTAAATATTTAATATATTCATATTTCATCATGAAGCTTTATCTGTTAACTATTTTCACTCAAGTGTTCTTGCCCAAAATGTGTATAATTTTATATAGTAATTTTTTACAGTTAATTACATAAACATTCTGAATAACATAACAAGTAGCTTAAATTTATTGCTTATTCAAGGAAGAAGAGTGATTTTAGTGTATGTGTATGATAAAGATAATGCAAAACTATTGTGCAGAACAGCCAAACAATTGAACGTTATGGTTAATGTTACTATTATTAGAAATATTATTTTATTCTCTTAAAAACTTAAATCACAGGGCCTAATTAAACTGAGACTCTCAAATAAAATAATAGCTTGTTTAAAAAAACACTAGAAAAGGAGACTGGAAAATCTATTTACAACTGGAATAAGGCATAGAAAAGCAACTCAGAGTATTTATTTTGAGCACTATTATAACAGTACTTTTTAAAGACAAAGCATATTAATTTTTAGGCCTGGTATCTGTGTGTTACATGATCAATCCTATTTGTTTTATGTCATTATGGCTTATTTCACTAAAAAAAAGTGTTTGTTAATTATATTAATTATATGTCAACAATCCCTCATTTATTTAGAATATCTAATTTGAACAACAGGTTCCAGGAAAAGGCTAATGTTTCAATAGATAATTTTGATTTCTGACCATCATTTAGGTAGACATCATAAACTTTATTAGAAAATCTATTTAGAGTGATTTACCTTAAAGAATATTACAGTAGGGGATTTCTTAATATTTTAAATAACTTTTAAAAATTTAACTGTTAGAAAATTAAAGATACAGAGTGAAAAGAGAATAATTGTGATGACAATTTATACTTTAAGTGTTCATATTTCAAGACTTATTTACTATAAATGCAATCATTCCTAGAAGACAAAAATGTTATTGTGGTGCATAATCTGATTTCTTAGCTACAACATATCATGAATATCTACTAATGTCAAAAAATGTATTCCTGTGTTTTAATACTGTTTGCAGAATAGTTTATTATTATGGATACGTAAAAAATATTGAATCAACCAACTTATGTTGGTTATTTGCAGTTTTCTCATATTACTAGAAAATACTGTGCAAATATTGTATTTGCACTCTTTTAAAAATATTTTTCAAGCTGGATTTTTGGAAGTGGAATTGGTAGGAACAAATACATGTGGGTTTTTAAGATTGTTGAGATGAATTGCCAAATTTTCTCAGAAAATGATTGAACAAATATACACATATGTCTGTAGGGTATGAACATGCCCCACTGTTTACTAAAAGCATGATAAAGTGATTTTTTTTGATATCCCATAGACTGAGACAGTATCAAATATTAGCATAATCCAACATATAAAGTAAATCACAGTTGTTTTTTTGCTCCTGTCATGATGGTGGAGTAGGTAAACTCTGTGCTTACCTCCTCTCACAACCATATCAAAATTACAAGTACGAGGTGTGATCAGAAAACACCGCGAATGTTTAAATTAAAAAATGTATTACAGTAAAGACACATTGCCATTAATCCCCCTCAAAATACTTCCCCTCACTTCAAACACACTTATCCCATCATTCTTGCCACTTTCTGAAGCAGTTATGGAAGTCCTCTTTCGTGAGTATCTTTAGTTGTGCTATTGTGGCTCAATGTCCTGAATCGATTCAAAACACTTTCCTTTCACAGTCATTTTGACTATGGAAAAGATCCAGAAGTCTCAGGGTTCTAGATCCAGTGAAAAAGGAGGATGTGGACACACCGTAATGTTTTTATTTGAAAGAAATTGACATATACCAGAAGCGATGTGTGACATGGAGCCTCGTCACGATGGAGGATGAAGTAAAGACACTCACGAAAGAGGACTTGCAGAACTGCTTCAGAAAGTGGCATAAGTGTGTTCAAAGTGAGGGGGAATATTTTCAGTGGGGTTAATAGCAATGTGTAGTTTACGGTAATAATAATTTTTTTTCATTTAAACATTCACTGTATTTTTTTTATCACACCTCATAAACTACAGAATAACCAGAAGGATCCAGTAATCCCACTTTTGGGTATTTATCTGAAGAAACCCAAAATGCTACTTCGAGGGGACATGTTCATACATATGTTCATTGCAGCAATATTTACAATAGCCAAGATATGAAGGCAACCTGGGTGTCCCTAAATGGGTGAATGGATAAAGAAGAGGTGGTACATATATACAATGGAATATTACTCAGCCATTAGAAAGAATGAAATCTTGCCATCTGCAACAACATGGATGGACCTAGAGGGTATTGTGCTGAGTGTAGTAAGTCAGACAGTGAAGGATACATGTCATATGATTTCACTTCTAATTGTAATCTAAAGAGCAAAATAAACAAACAAATAAAACAGAAACAAATTCATAGATACAGAGAACATTTTGATGGTTGCCAGATGGCAGGAGGTTTGGGGGTAAGTAAAAAGGGGAATGGATTAAGAAGTACAAATTAGTTGTTACACAGTAGTCATGGGATGTAGATTATAGCATAAGGAATATAGTCGATAATATGGTAATAACTATGGATAGTGCCAGGTGAGTACTAGACTAATTAGGGGGATCACTTCTTAAATTATATAAATGTCTAACCACTATGCTGTACACCTGATGTAATGTACAGCGTAGAGAATATAGTCACTAATATTGAGATAGCATGGTACAGTGTCAGATGGTTGCTGGACTTATCATGATGATTGCTTCCTTAAGTACATAAATGTTGAATATCTATGGTGTATGCCTAAAACTAATATAATGTTGTATGTTAGCTATATTTTAATAAAAGTCTTAAAAAATAAAAAATAAGGTCACAGAACATAAAATCCTGTTGAAATTATTAGATTATAAAAACATTATTAAAAAATAAAATGTGATACTTACAAACACAGTCATCTCCAATTTCAATTTCGTCAGGGCCACATGGGTGTAATTTTGCATCAGAAACAGCTGTAAAAGGTTAAGGTTTTTATATTTATCCAAATGAGCATAAAGATATATAGATAGTTGATATAGAGAGAGAGATGATAGACAGATAGATGATAGATATAGCTATAGCTATAGATATTTATATAGATACATGGATATATATAGGTATATATCTATATACCATACTTGAGATGGTATATCTGAGATGACAATTCTTGGGAGACGTATGTTTTAATACAGAGTAAAGCTTATTTGTTCTCTTTTTTTTTCATAATAAATTTTTTCCCTTTTTAGGATGAGATCAAGTGGAGATAATATGGTATCATATTTTGAAACAATTATATCTTTTCTATTTTGTTTTCAAAATTTTAGTCTGCATTAAGTAATGAAACATTACAATCTCCAGAAATTTATACAACAGTTGGTTTAGTACCAGTTCCTCAGGAAATGCCTTCCCCATGGTCAGGCACAGGATTACAGAGTCAACAGCTGTCATGGTGATACTTATAATCCAATGCCAATGTTGGTTTATTTCTGGACTCTATTCTTTTCCTTTGTTGCATTTGTCAGTGCTAATATAACACTGTAGATTACCATAACTTTAAAATAAGTCTGAATATCAGATCAAAGCATTTGCATTTATATTCTTGAAGGATATTGTTCCATAATTTTCTTATAATGTCTATATCTGGTTTTAGTTTCAGAGTAATGCTAGCCTTACAAAAATTTAGAAATAGTCACTCCTCTTTATTTTTCTGGAAGAACTGTATAAAATTGATATTATTTCCTTCTTAAATGTTAAGAATTTCCAAGCCATTTACATTGGTGATCTTTTGTTATTGTTCTTGTGTTTTGTTTCTTTTCTCCTTTTATTTTATTTTATTTTATCTTGATGGGATAGATTTTAACTAGAAATACAATTCCCTTAGTAGATATAGAACCATTGAGATTATCTAATTATTTTTGAGTTAGCTTTTGTTATCTGTGTATTTCAAAAAAATTGTTCACTTTATTCCAGTTGTCAAATGTATTGGCAGAGTTCGTCACAATAATCCTTTTTTTTCATTATTCTTGTAATATCTGTAGAATCTGTAGTTGTAGCTCTCTTTTATTCCCAATATTGGTTATTTTTGTCTTATCTTTTTTTACTGATCAGATTGGCTAGAGTATTATTATTCTTTACTGAGTTTCTCAAAGAACCAGCTTTTGATTTTCTTTAATTTTCTCTGTTTTGTATATTTTGTTTCGTGTTTTTCATTCCAGTCATTATTTCCTTTTGTCTGCTTATTCAGGGTCTCATTTGTGCTTCTTCTAGTCTCTTAACTTGTAAGTTGATGTCTTTAATTGTGACCTTTTTTATTTTCCAATATAGTTGCTTAGTGGGTTTTTCTTTTAACTAACTTACATTTTTTCTAATATTCTAATTTTCTTAACTTAGTGCCCAGAACGTGATCTGTCATGATAAATGTTTCATGTGCACTTCTAAAGAATATTGATTAGTGTTATATTATAGAATCTTCTCTAAATGTCATTTAGATCAGGTGGTTAATAGTTTCTCTAGTAGCCTCCATTTTTTGCTGTTTTTGTTTCTACATATTCAATTAATTATTGTCAGATGGGTGTTGCTCTCCAACATGAACTGTAGATTTGTCTATTTCTTCTTGAATATCTATATGTTTTGCTTCATGTATTTCAAACCTGTTTATTAGGTACATAAGTATTTAGAATTGTTATGTCCTATTGTTGAATTGACCTTTTTGTCATTAGAAACTGACCCTTATTTTTCCAGGTAATATTTTTTGCTCTGTAATCTACTTTATCTAATATTAATGTAGCCACTTTACATTTCATATAATTTACGTTACCTAGTTATATCTTTTTCTACCTTTAGACTTAAAGATATATGAGGTTAAAAACCTCATTTTTCTTTATGAAATTGGTTTGTCTGGGCAGCCTATAGTTGGGTGTTGTTTTTTTATCCAATTAGATAATTTCTGACTTTCACTTGGGTGTTTAGACCACATATATTTAATATGCTTACTGATACTTTAGGATTTAAATTTATTAAGTTGCTATCTTTTTTCTGTTTGACCTATTGACACTTTTCACCTTTTTCTCAATCTCCAAAAACATTGAGTATATGTTATGATTCCATTTTTTCTCCTTCGTTAGATGATTAACTGTAATATTTGTTTTATTTTAGTGGATGCTATAAGGTTTATAATATACATACTTCTCTCAGCCTACTTTCATTAATATGATGTCTCTTTTCATATACCATAAGGACCTAACTAGCTTGCTAACTAGAAATATGGAAAATGTGAAAACAATGTTCCCCGTGGATTCTTCTAAATAAATAACAGTTATATATTTTATTTAAATGGCTTTGCTTACAAGTATCTTGAATTAATGTTTCTTTTTTTATTTGGCTTCTAGAAGTCTCTAAGGGTAAACTGTGTGAAAATGATATATGAATTATAAAAAACAAAACATAGTCATGAGAATATGTTATTAAAGTGAAAACTTTTCCTTCAATTTTTGCTCTTTGGGTGATTTTTAAATAGATGTGACCGATTGTTGACTTTTGTCTATCCAATAGCCATCGAGGTGTTATTGGCTGAAGGCAGCAAGATGTCCAAGTAAAAAATCTTCAATTCACAGACTGCCTCTGAAGATAAAGATGAGCCAGAAAATTCTTCTAAAGTAGTTGTGATAAGGTTTTGCCAAATAAGCTACTTTAAAAAGAGGAAATTTCTGTTAGAACAAGCCCTTTTTAACCTTTTGGGCTTTCCCTTTTATCCTATCTAAAATACAGATAAAAAGGCTAAAATTGAACCTTCATCCTGTCACCCTGAGGGGAAAACCTAGAGACTATTGGAGGCTTCAGCCTGACATTTCAAAATGGCCACATCACCATAAGCAGTGAACATCTGCTCTGGTTTCATGGTAAGTAAGGAAAAACAAAACAAAACAAAACAAACCTCTTAAGTGGATTAAGTGACTGTCACTTTAGTTTGCTATCCATGCAGTCTAATTCAAGTTCTAAATGGTATTTTAAGTTAAGGTTTTACTGGGAAAATCAGAGAGAATAATTCATGAATATGTCTGATTAATAACTTATATACATTGAGTGAAAATAAAAATCATTTCCCATAACTTCCCTCTCCCTAAAACCAGTAGGAGGACTTGAATATGGTAAAAGAGAGAAGTTATTTTGAATATTCAAAGTTGAGAAATTGAGCAGGTGGCAGTGACATTAACAAAACAGGAAATATTTTTGAGTTTTAAAGGCATGTCATAAAAAATACACATTTTAAATACTGAGTTTTTAAGTTCAATGTAAACAACACTTCTGTTGAAGTGATTATTTGTATTTTTATGGTATCCTCTGGTGTGAACGTATGTTTTCATTTTTAATAGTTGTCAATGTTTCTTAAACGAATGCAGGTAAATTGTTTTGTTTTTTCCTTTTTTATTGAAACTCCTACAGAACTTTCCATAAATATTTCGTAATATTGTTTAAACTTTTATAAAAATTAACTAATTTTTTATGGCAAGAGTACTGAAAAATAGCAGAGACATTTTTCAAAATCTCTCATCTTGGCCACTCAATGAAGCCAATCCATCTCTGGATTTTCTCTTTCCCAATGATGTTCTATTAACTAAGCAGATGCTGAGCTTTTTTATTGAATATACTGTTTTCAGCCAGGGTTAGCTGGCCAGCAGCTATGTAAAAAATATGAAGATTTAGTGGCTCACTCTCTCAGGATAATTCTCCACAGATGTCTCAGTGCACAGAAAATAAAATGCAGAGTTCCCTCAATGTCAGGCCCTGCTGTCCTTCCAAGTTGCCGTCTTGTTATGCTCTCCCTCACTGTTTGAGACCCACCATGTCTGTCCTTTCACTCTTGTGAGAACACCATGCTCTTAGTGCCTTGCTTCCTTTCATATGCTGCTGTTGCTGTCTGAGATATTCTTCCCCTCACTCTTAATCTGACCAAGGACTGTTTCCTCTCAGACTGTCAATGTCAATGTCCTGTTTGCAGGAGAGGCTTTCTCTGGTGACCACCCATTACAAATTTCATGCTCCGCTCACCTCCAGTATTCTCATCTATGGCAACTTTTAATCTTTGCACTTAAACTATTGGGTTGTCAGAAAAGTCATGACACATTTTTGTAATGAAAAATATAGAAAAAATACATCATGATTTTTCTGAACCTAATACTATTTGCAATTTGTAATTTTTTGCCACTATTTTGCTCTACCTGTGTTATTTGGGGTTTTCTAGTTTGGAGAGTCTAACAACCTCAGGATGAAAATGTTCCTAGGTGTTGTGATAGAATTATTATTATTTGCAAGTGTTTGCCTGGTTTACTATCACTGGTCTATAATAGTATCTCAAAGCATTTTCAGTCTTCTATACATGGATGAGCCCGGGGAACATACTAGAGGGGGGTTGGTTTCTTCCAATATCATGGTCACAAATTAGCACACTCCCTACTCGCCCACCAAAAATAAATACCTCACTTATCTGCTTCATTCTTGTCTAAAAAATCCACGTAAAAATCACCATTGTGCAGTTCTTTTTTGAGCTCCTTGCATCTGAAGAGTTAGGTTACTACTTCTATTGAATGTGGCCAATAAATAGGCACTTGTTGAGTCCCCACTTTGTTCGGGGCATGAGGTCATGAGACCCTAATATATTAAAGGGTACATTGTATGTTTTTAAACAGTTCATAGTCATAATTGAGAACAGAGAAAAAGAAACAAAAAAGTTTCATTAAATTCAGTTATCTATTGTGATCTTCATGATGGTGTGTCATGAGAACTCCCAGCAAGGACCCCTACTCCCCAACATCCTTAGTCAACAACCATGGTTACTGTCAGACTCATGAGTTGGTGTGTATTCTATGTCTGTATCTCATGTCCCCTCTTATATAACAGGCCAAAACAGAATTCTCAATTTCTTTCTTTCCCCAACCGATGCGTTTGTACCCCAGTCTTTCCCATCTCAGTTGCTCAAGCAAAAAAACATAGGCATAATTCTTGGTTTCTCTCTATTTTCTCACATATCCAATGCATGACCTCTGCTTCCAAAGACATCTCAACTCAATACCCTTTGTCCTTTGCCACTAGTCTAAGCTATTTCCACTTCCCCTAACCTTTAAGCTACCACCATATCTTTATTGAATTCATGCAATAACCTCCTAAATTGAATCATACTGTAGAAATACAATCCTCAGAGCATATTATTTACCTACTTAAAATCTCTTAAGACTTTACACAGCACTATGACTAAATCTAAGTCCTTACTATGCACTGCAGACTCTGCTGACTGTGTCCCCTTCCTACTACTCTGACCTCATCTCCTAAGGCCCATCCACTCAATCTGTTCCTCCTACATCATTTCTCCTTCAGTTTTTGAGTAGTCATCTTCACACCTATGTGAGGGCATTTGCATTTGCTGTTCTTTCTACCAAGAATACTCTTTCCCCTATCTTTTTATGGTTGCCTCATTCTCCTCATTCAGAGCTTAGCTCAGGACCACCACCTGTTCAGAGAGACCTTTCCCAGGTATCCTTTGTAAGATAGCAGTCAATTCCTATTTATTGACCAGTTTTCTTTAACACTGGACCAATTGTTTTCTTTAGTACATTGACCATTTAACATATTTCTTTAATACACTGACCAGTTTTCTTATAATAGTTATTGCTTTCTAAAATAATTTTATTTTTTGTTTTATTTTTGTTTTGTGATAAAGATTTTACTTTAAAATAATTTTAGATTCACATAAAAAGTTGCAAAAAAAATACAGTGCTCTCCCTTATACCCCATCCACCTTCTGCTAATATTCACATATTACAAAACCATGATACATCTGTCAAGACTAAGAAATTGACCTTTAGACTCTATTCTTAAATAAACTGATGACTCTTCAAATTTTTCCAGTTTTCCACTAATGTTCTTTTCTGTTCCAGTATCCAAGCCAGGATATTGCCACATTCATTACTGACCATGTTTTTTTTAGTCCATTCCAATATGTGACAGTTGTTCACTCTTTCATTGTTTTCAATGATTTAGACATGTTAGAAGAGTACTATTAAGATATTTTGCAGACTGTTTCTCAATTAAGGTTTATATAAATTTGCTCATAATTAGACTGGGGTTATGGCTTTTGAGGAAGAATGTCACAAAGGAGAAGTGTCCTTGTTATGCATGTTATCAGTGGGTAGGTGACATCAACATCCATTATAACTGGTGATGTTAACCTTTGATACTTTCACATCAACAAATATTTTTGAGGATTTTAAGGTCTTGGCAAAGAATCCTAAATAAATTTGGCCAATTGAAACTAGAAATTTCACTGTCACAATAATATTAGACCAAACCTCTTACTGAGATTTGCATTAGTTCCCATCCAGAGAATAGAACAAACACACCCACACACCCAGTTCCATGATTAGCAGCTCATGTATATTACACATGTTTTCTTACCTTCTGCACAATATCCCATGCACCCCTGAGTAGGTTGTAGGAAGTACACAAAAAATTGTCCACAGTTTCTTACAGACACTGGGATTTGAAAAAGACAACAGTCTTTCGTAGTGCTGAGCAAAAACTGCCATGTGGCACAAGCTGTGAGTTGCTTGGTCTCCCCAGGCGAGGGTAGTGTTTCTGAACCTCTCAGAGACAGCCAGATGGGGGCTTGTGTTCCACAGTGGTTCATCTGTGTGTCAGAGAAAACGTAAGTTAATAATCCCAAGTATTGTCATACACGATAGATAATCAACTTTGCATTTTTTTCAGAACAACCTTTAAATATTAAATTATCAATCATTTTTTAGAAATTAATAACTTTTACCTGTGTTGTAAAAGAAAAAAGTAACGATGGAACAGTAAGTTTAAGGGTAGATTCCTCATAATTAATATAATCTTATTCAATTTAATACCTTTATTCTATTTGTTACATTTGTATTGTGCACAAGAGAAATTCGGTATCAGGTAACAAACTAAAATAGCTGATATATTCTAAGTCAAGCTAAAGTCATTTTAACGTATAGCACAAAGATAAACTGATCTTGGGGGTTGATTGAAAAATTGCTAGAAATAGCATATGTAAGAAGTTGATAGACAGTTCAGAAGGCATAAAAAAATCAGGGGAGAAGGAAAAAGGTGTTCACAATCTGGTGAAAAAAATAGGTTGGCAATTTGGAAAAAATGAGGTTAAAGCCTCACTTGAAGCAAATTACCAAAATCATTTCCAGGTAGAAAATAGAATCAAGTAGAAAAATAACCCAGCAAAAAAAAAGAGACAATACATAATTTAAGAAGGGCTGAGGCACTTACTAAATGCGTGACCTTGAGCAAGATACATCTTTTGCTATTGTGTTAGGTGGATTGTAGTACCCACATGACAGTGCTGTGGTGAAATATAAGTGAAAGAACGTATGCAATGCAACTCCTACATAGCAATGACTCAAAAACTGTTAGCCAGATTATAATTCTGGATATTATACATTAATATTAATAATTATCAATTCTAAAAAGTAATATACTAATGATTAATGTATTGTTAACATTGTATAATAATTAATATTATTACAATTAATATTCCCATGCTTATAAGAGAAAAATCATAAAGAAAAAGATAGATAGTGATGATTAAATAATAATTTTAAAATATAAGACAAATAAAAGTTAAATAAGGAGAAAATTATTGAGTTGTTGGAAAAATTATGACATATTTTTTCTGTTTTTCATTGCAAAAATGCATCATGACTTTTCCGACAACCCAATGTTTAATAGCATTATATTTGGTATATTATTTATTGATTGATACATTATTATATATCTTATTTTATTTTAACCATGTAACATTATCCACTTAAAAAATTCTAGATCACAAATGGGCAAAATAGACAAACATACAATTCAAAGAATAAATACAGGTGCCTGATGAATACATGAGAATATTCAATATTAAAACAGGCATTTTTATCTACTGCTACCAGAATTAAAAATTAGCATTAGGTTTTTGAGAAACAACTTAATTATATGTATTAAAGATCTTAAAAAGACATTAACCTTCACTAATTTAACTTATAAAAATCAATATTACCAAATATGCTAAAATATAACAATGACTTATATAAACGTGTGCTAAACTGAATTACTTATTATAGGAAAAGCACGAATGTGCACACATATGGTAATGGTTTAAATAAATATGGTATGTACATATAACAGAACATTATTTTCAAACAGCTATCAAAAAGTTTTTTAAAAACATAGGAAAATGTTAAAACTACAACTGAAAACAAAAAAGCTATTGAACGTATAGCATGGACCTTGCAAAATAATATAAATAAGAGGAAGCAATTGCAAAATGTTAATGGTAGTATGAGTGTGTGGGATTATGAATGAATGTTGTTCTATTAACTGTCCTTTATTTTCTAAGTTTTCTAAAATGCACATGAATTACTTTAAACATTATAAATAGAAATTTATCTACACAGACTTGTATTATCCTGTAGACGTAAAGAAAATTGTATCAATTCTTTAGTTGCGTTGTCTGAAGCCTTGGCTCAAGAGGGCATGAAAGAATGGGAACAAGGAACGCTTCCCCATGAGGCCCAGAATGACCACTTATTAGCTGACCTCCAGGAAAAGAGTTGGTGAAAAAAGAGCCAGTTCACCTTTACATTTGTGTGATGTCCTAGAATCAATTATAGTTAATTTGGCCAAAGGAAAAGAACACAAATATTTAAGGACATAAAGAACTTCCTCTAATTTCTCAATTTTTACTTTTTTTTTTTTCTCTTTTTTAAGCTGAGCCATCCTGCCACCTGTTGGCAGCTCAGCGGCTGCTCAGCTCAGGCCAGGAATTGAACCGCTGTTGTTCAGAGCTCAAACTCTTGAGTGAGCTCTTAACCAACTGAACCACTCGGCCGGCCCCCTCAATTTTTACTTTTAAAATCCGATTCTTTTTTTTTTTTTTTAGCTTATTGCAAAGGAAATGTCGCAAAAGTGATAAGCAAATAAACCATAAACGACAAGGAGAAAATAAGACAGCTACCATGTCACAACTTAAAATTAAACACTGTTAAAATTTGTATATCTTTCCTGAATTGTTTTTTTTACATGCTTAAAAGGTAAAGTAATTTATGCTTCTGCATAATTCACAAAATATAGGTCTCATAAGGAATATGAGACTTCTATTTAAGGCTGACAAGAAATGAAGCAGGTTTTCTGGTTACTTGTGGTTAAGTACATGAGCCCTGAAGAATGACAGCCTGTGATCAAAACTTGGTTGGTTGACCTGCTAGCTGGGTGTGTTATGTCTAAGACTATATGTTTCCTGCACTGTGTGATAGAAATAATGATGATAGACTGTATTCTAGACTTGTAAAAATTATATAAGAGACTGTAAGTAAAAGCACTTGGTGGACTACATGAGCATAACATGAACTATTTACTATATATAATATAATAGGAAACTATTAATATAATTAGGAAACATTGGAATATTCCTGTAGATTAATTCAATCTTGATACAAAATTAAAATAATACTTTAGTATGGGAAATAAATTGGTTGTAACAAGACTCAATCCTCATATAAAAAAATAGATAAGAAAAAGCACATGTAGTTCTTAGTGAATTGAAATACCTCGACACACTTGGTTGGCATCTCAGCAGGTCTGTCAAAGAGGAGAAATCGATACCATCCAGGAGCGAGGGAATGGTCACATATCAGGTCTTGGATGGCTGACTGCTGGAGGTGCAATGAGTCAAAATGGACACTTCTATAAGGGCTCTGAAGTAACTGGTGTCCCCCAGGAGAGCACTCCTGAGCTAGGATGAAAAGATAGGTGTCTTTATGTATGTGCTTTCTTGGTTAAGATAGTTCAGTCCTCAATTAAAATTGATTCCCAAAACAAAAGTAAAGCAAATCAACCTACCATGGTACGTAGAGACCATCTGAAATGTCAGTGTCTCTTTAAGTCAAAGACGACTTAACTTGCCCTTTCCATAAATGCAATAAACCAATCAGCAAACTCTTCAGAATGTATTTTTGAGGTGTTTACACTTTAAGGACTTTATTTTCATTTCATTTGGACAAAGCAATCTTGCTGATTGATGTTGAGTTAGGATTTGTTTATTCCCACCATTACAAGTCACAGGCCCGACCAAGATGTCTCTTGAGACTGGCCCTCTAGACTTAAGTGCCGTTATCGGCCCGCCATGGCCTGCTTCCCTCTGCAGTAGCGACATGCCCCCCCAAATCCCACGTCTGCCGGGTCCCAGAATACAACAGACCAAGCCAATCTTTTAATGCCAATCTAATTTTCGTAAAACGACCTCATACTGAGGTTTACTGCATTCTTTTTTTTTTTTTTTAAGATTTTTTTATTGGGGAATTGGAGGGATGGGAACAGTGCTGGGGAGTTGGGGGAAGGGGAACAGACAAGTTGCTCTCCTTTTGTCTAGTTGTGGAGGACGCTGCTTCACTGGCCCAAGTTGGCACCGTCATTGCGCTCTTCCCGGGTTGAGCTGTTGTTCAGCATCTTAGCTGTGGAGGGCAGTGTCACTGGCCCTCATATGTGGGATCCGAACCGGGGCCCTCTGGTATCCCAAGTGAGTTCTTAACCATCGCGCCACTCGGCCGGCCCTACTGCATTCTTTAGTATAGGAAAGAATATAATGTGTTTAAAGTTTTGGTTTGTTTTTTATAGATAAAGTATTGAAGTCCATTTTTATTACTAAGCACAGGAAAAGAAATGTGGTATAGGCAAACAGTTTTGAAGGAGAACCAACATAAGACCAGAGAGAAAGAGATAGTTTTAGGGAAGCCATTTCCCAAGCAGCAGTTGGCCTAGAACATACTTTTTCTGTCAAACCCATAAAGGCAGAACATAAAGCCACAGAGGAGACACTCAGAACAGAATTATCCTAGAAATACAGCTCTTGTTTGCGGCTCTGACTCCCAAATAATAAGAAACTCCCAAATAATAAGGAACTGTTCTTATTTAGATTCCAGAGTTTCTTGTTGACACAGTAGATAGTAAATCTCCAAACATTAAATATTATATTTGTTGAAGGAAAGTACTATAATAAAAAATATCTATGAAGTAGAAGTGTGAAAGAAAAAATTCACATTATGTAGTCACAAAAGTACCTCACTGGGGAAAAAAATTAACTGAACAAAGCTTTCAAACATTCATTACATAATTTTAGGCTACAGAAGTGCTTATAAACCAAAATCAGTTTCTGAAATTAAATGAATAAGGAGCACAAAAAAATAGAGAGATTAATTTGCAAGTCTATATCACAACTGTAGCTTATAAAAATTGTCATTATTATATTTCTTTTGCTTTTTATTTTATTGCTTATAGTTCTAGCAACTAAACTGTACAAAAGGTACTGTTCTGTAAGATAAAAGATCTGTCTAAAAAATTTTTTTAGTAAAAAATTTTAGGAATGACCACAAAAGGTCCCTCTTTCTTTTTTCTCTTGCTCCACCAGTTTTCAATTTACCAAGAAGATTTTAACCCAAAAGGCTCTAGTGACTTTGATGATCTCATTCTGTCAAGACTAAATAAATATTTTATAAAATGTGTGTGGATAGAAGTCAGGGGATGTGCTAGCATTTCATCTAATTTTGCAATAACTCTAAAATCCTGTCAATATCAGAACATTGCACCTGGTTAGAAAATAAGGAAAATATTTTAAAAGATATTACTAGTGAGGTTTGAATGAATTATTGAAATATTTTCTCTGATCTCTTTCTTGCAATAGAATTTTGTCTTGGGAAAAAGTCAATAACTCCATCTTTATTCTGTACAGTATTGCTCCTTCCCAAGTGCTTCTCTAGTTCTCAGATATCCTCTGATTTTTTTTTACATTTGTTTTCTAATCCAAAGATAAAGATGCAATAAATGCAATAAATGTAATAATCACAGTGTGACATCAATAATATTAAAGAAGTGCATAACATTTAAACAAGAATTTTTATTTAATATTTATTTTAGAGGTAATTTCTTAATTCATATGATTAATAATGGCTCATATTTTTATTGGTTATATCATAATTTTTCTCCCAAATCTACTTGTCTCTTTTAAAATGTTCAATGTTTGTGTAAAAAACTTCAAAATTTTACTAACAATAAGCCATATTCTTAGAAAACTCATTACAACCTTAACTCTAGAATGTAAGATATAATTAACTAAAATGAGAATTATAAGGATGGTTTGGGCTTCCATTTGAGAATTCAGGAGTTTAACTCCTCAAGCACTAAAAGAACAGGTTTACACGCCTGTCTCACCTATCAGTCGATTTCATAATATGGATGATGTACAGAGCTTTCTAGCAAATTCCAAATACTTTTCCTCAAAACAAAAGTACATGTAAAACATATATTAAAATTTACATTTTATTTGTCCTGTCTTTTTTTCCCAAGATAATTTAAAGCAGCTAAATAGTATATAATAGAGTCTGCAATACTTGGATTTCAACTATTTGTGGAGAATGTGTCAAGTTATAAATAATAGATACTTAATGATACAATGTACAAATGGTTTTCAAGTTTTGTTTGTAGTATAAGGTAACTTGTATTATATTGCCTTCTGGCTTATTACAATGGTTAAAATTAGCTTTCTTTAAGATTCATAAATGGTTGACAAATATGTTAAGAAACTAAATAAATCATTGTATTTTTAAGAGCTGAATATGCTTAATGTGCAAAGACCGAAACGTCATAATATCTGAGTTTGTAATTATAAAACCTTTGGTATGTTGCCTATGGGAATTTCAAATATTGGTGAATTTTTAAAAATCTTATGACTTTCCTAAAGCTGTGGGAAAGAGATAAACCACCCCTGAGCTCCAAATTCAAAGAGAAATAAAAAGGTAATCATTAAGCTTCTGACATTCAAAATAGAATTATGGGTTCTGCAACAATACAAAAGGCTGAAAAGCAAGATCAAATAGAGAGTGATGGTTTGCTAAATCTCTTTACTTTGCCCTCCTTTATGGTTAAATAAAAAATATTATTACAGTAAAAGACACATTGTAATCCCCCTCAAAACACTCCCTCTTGCTTTGAAGACACTTATCTCATCGTTCTTGCCCCTTTCTGAAACAGTTCTAGAAGTCCTCTTTCATGAGTGTCTTTAGTTGCACTGTCATGGCTGCCTCGATGTCCTGAATCATTTAACTTTGAGGAAGAGCCAGAAGTCACACGGTGCCAGATCCAGTGAATAAGATGGATGAGGACACACTGTAATGTTTCTATTTGACAGAAATTTCTGTACCAGAAGCAATGTGTGACACGGAGTGTTGTCATGATGGAGGATGATTTATGGCACATTTTAAAACACACCTTCTCAACCATAGCTCACACCTGACTGCACAGAACAAGTCGAAACTTGTCGCACACTTTTACTAAGGTTTTACGTGTCACTTCCCATATTGAAGATCCCTGCCTTTCCGTTGGATTGCACTCGGCAGCAGCATTCACCATATTTTGTGATCACACCAGAAAGGTTCTGTTTCACACATCACTTCTGGTGCGACAATTTCTATCAAATAAAAACATGGTTTGTCTTCATCTACCTTATTCACCGGATCTGGCACCATGTGATTTCTGGCTCTTCCCTAAAGTCAAAATGGCCATGAAAGGTAAATGTTTTGAATTCAGGACATCGAGGCAGCCACGACAGTGCAACTAAAGACACTCACTAAAGGGCACTTCCAGACTACTTCAGAAAGTGGCAAGAACAATCGTATAACTGTGTTTGAAGCAAGGGGGAGTGTTTTGAGAGGGATTAATGGCAACGTGTCTCTTGCTGTAATAATTTTTTTTAATTTAAATTTGATTTAAATTTATTTTTTTTAATTCATCATATTTGTTGATCACACCTCGTATGAGGCTCCATTTCCTCATTTGTAAAACAGGAATAATAGTAGTACTTATCTTGTGGCGTTATTGTGAGAGTTAAATTATTTAATGTGTATAATGTATTTTAAAGTGCTTAAGATAATGTTTCACGCATAGTAAGTGCTTTCTATATTTGCTATCTTAAAATAACCTTGCAAGGTAATTACCTTTTCGATTTCACAAATGAAGAAATTGGGAGCTACCCAAGGTTTCAGGTCTTAGGGTAGTTAATTATGTGCAATGAATAGGCTAAAAATGAAATTAAGAAAACAATTCCATTTACAATAGCTTCAAAAGAACAAAATACTTAGGAATAAATTTACAAAAGAAGCACAAAACTTATACTCTGAATATAACAAACATTGTTGAAAGAAAGTCAAGATCTAAGTAAATGGAAATGCCCCCATGTTCATGGATTGGGGACTTCATGTTGTTAAGATGGTAATACTCCCCAAATTGGCATGCAGATTCACAAAACCCCCATTAGAATATCAGATGACTCCTTTGTAGAAAATGACAAACTAATTCTAAAATTTCAAGGGACCCAGAATAGGTAAACCAATGTTGAAAAAGCAGAACAAAACAGGAGGACTCACATTTTTCACATTTCATAACATACTACAAAGAAACTGTAATCAAAGCAGTGTGTTTTGGCATAAGGATAGACACAGACTGATGAATAAAATTGAAAGTCCAGAAATAAATCCATATATCTATGATTTTCAACTGATTTTTTACCTAGGTGCTAAGACCATTCATGGGAAAGGACAATCTTTTAAAAAAATCATGCTGTGAAAACTGAATATCAACATGCTAAAGAATAAAGTTGGATCCTTACATTACACCACTATTCCATTATATAAAAATTAATTCAAAATGGATCAAAGACCAAAATGCAAAAGCTAAAACTACAAAACTCTTAGAAAAAACATTGGGGTAAATCTTCATTATTTTATACATGGCAATAGATTTCAAGATATGACAACAACCACATGGCACAAAATAAATATATTGGACTTCATCAAAATTAAAACTTCTATGCTTCAAAGGACATTATCAAGAAAGTGAAAAGAATCCCCACATAAGGGGAGAAAAGAGCTGCAAATCACATATCTGATAGAAGAATTGTATCTATTAATAGAATATACAAATAACTCATACAACTCAGTAAAAGAAAGGCCCACCACCCAATTTAAAAATTGTTGAAGGATCTGGGTAGGTATTTCTCCAAAGAAGATATACAAATGTCAAATATTAACACATGAAAAAAAAATGCTTGATGTCATTAGCCACCAGGGAAATGCAATCAAACCACAAAGAGATGTCACTTCACACCCACTAGGATGGCTAGAATAAAAACCTCAAATAATAACAAGTGTTGGCAAGGATATGGATAAGTTGAAACCATTATACACCACTGCAGGAGTACAAAAGAGTACAGCCACTTTGGAAAATATTCCAGCTGTTCCTCAAATGGTTAAACACAGAGTTATCCTATAATCCTATAACTTTACTCCTAGGTGCATACCTAAGAGAAATGAAAACAAGTCCACACAAAAACTGTACCCAGATGTTTGTAACAGCATTATTTATAAAAGCCAAAAGGTGGAAACAACCCAAAAGTTCATCAACAAAACGTGCTATATATTTAACAATGGGAAATTATTCCATCACAAAATAAGATTAAGTACTGATGTATGCTGCAACATGGATGAACCTTGAAAACATTATGCTAAATGAAAGAAGTTAGTCACAAAAGACAATTATATGATTTCATTTATATAAAATATCCAAAATAGGCAAATCTATAGAGCAGAGAGATTAGTGATTAGAAGTTATCAAATTTACCAAGATATGAGTTTAGAACCTGATAAGGGTTAATATTCACTTTCAGTGGAGAGATTACAAGATTATTATATAGAGGCAAGAAGGGCTTATGTGATCTATAGTAAACACTGAAGCAAACTCCTTTAAAAATATTGATCATTTTTCTTTTTTTTGTCATTTTTCTTGAAATAGTTTATCTAACTGTAATAAATGCATATTTAATGTTATTGCCTGTACTTTTAACAGTTCCTCATGAAGATTTAGCAAATCCTTAAGCAAACCAAAGAAGGCACAGACTAATGATACCTTGTTAAGATGTATCATTTCAGGAAATAATAAATTGAGTTTTAAAATCCTTTTGAAAATTTTACATGGTAAAAATTTTTACAGAGGAAATTTACCTTAGTAAAATACATTGAGATTAGTAAGATGATAGGAAGATAAAATTATACCCTAAGTCGTTCCAAATATTGCATATAACTTTTTTTTCAAGCTGCAGGTAGCTGTACACAGATCGGATTTATTTCTGAAAAATGTAAGGAAACTTACAATATAAGAACAAACCGTCTTTCATTTAATGTTTTTACCTCTTTGAACACAAAAACAATCAGAAAGAGCTGATGAATGTTATTTTTTTAACCTATTGTATTTTAAACCTTTCTTTGTCATGGATTAAAGAATGGGAGGGCGCTATTCTCTCCGTAGAGGTTTCTTTTGCAGCAGCAAAACGGATTCTAACCGATATAGGAAAAGTATCATCACAAAACTTAACTTACTGATTTATTGCAGGAGTAAAATATTCATCAATTAATCATTTCCGGCAGCAGGGAGGGAGGGAGGTAGAAATCGTGCAGTTTGGAACTGAACTTTTCGGATAATTCAGATCCACCTGCCGCTAGGATACCTGACACACCCCGCAAAAGTTTCTGAAGGTAAAATAAAGGGAACGTAAGGAGCAGGATACAAACAAAGGAACAAAACCAAGACTGAGGGTCTTAAAGGAGGGTAAAGGAGGCAACAACCACCAGTGTGCTAAGGAAAACCCAAGAGCACCAAGGCTGTCAAGTGACCATTCAAAAAAAGACAGTAGCAGGACAGGGTGGAAGTCGGCGAGGGACCAACATCAGATGCGGCCGTAAAGATGCCCACGAACACTCCATGAGTCATCCGGGAAGTCAGCCCCCTTCTCCCAAAGCCCCAGGTGACGCCCCTGCACTCCCATCCCCCCATCCGCTAGCGCCCTACCTTGCCAACCTTTGCCCGGGGCCAGGAGCATCAGCGCCAGCGCCAGCGCCCAAACTCCACCAGGCATCATCGCTGCTGCTGCGGGTGGGGCCGAAGGAGTCGTGGAGCTCGGGGCGAGGGTGCAGGGAGGATAGACCACCGCAGCCCCTCAGTCCTGTGACTTTTACAAGTCCGCTCCCGCCGGGCCTGCAGGGTCCCTGCGTGCCCTCGGGTCCTTCCCAGGGACAGCGGCACTAGCCTGGTGACGCCCCCCTTCCAGCCCTCCGCCCCGCCTGCGAGGAAACCACGCCCAGCTTGTCCCAGGAGACCACGGTGGTCCCTGCGCATCCAGGCTGTGGGTGGCGCCCTGGATGTCAGCAGCAGCCGCACAGCCTGAGGGCAAACTCCCAGGATATAGCTTGGCATCCTGCGTCTCGCTGTTCGAACACACACGTTCGGAAAATGTGAGAATCCTAGAAACTGTTCAGATGGACTTCCAGTAAAAGAGGCCTTGCAAGGTTCTGTTGAAAGGGGCAGTGCCCCTGATCATAGCTGCAGATGGATTTTTAACCGGGTAATCGGGGTCCCTTGCTTGCTCCCCAAAGGTGCGCATGCTTCACAAAAGTTGCTCCTGCCACTTCAAGCCTCAGAGATGAAGGATGAGAGAAGGGAGGAGAAATTAATGTCGCAACAGTAGCCATTCTCTTCCTGTGCCTCTATGACAGGTTTTCAAAAGTGGAAGTGGGACATTTAGACATTTGCTAAACACATGGGGTCAGCCGTGTATTTGCTAACAATTCCCAGAGCTTTGTTGTCCAGTGGTGACCCAGTGGCTCAGGATCCTTCAGCATCTGGTTACATGGCTCCTCAGGTTGACCTGGGGATGGTCTCCAATCTGAAGTTGTCTTTAGATGTATGGTTGGCTCCAGAGGGAGGCCACACACACACACACACACACACACACACACACACACACACACACACACACACACACACACACACTCACTTTTTAAAAAATTGATTCTGCACCNCCACACACACACACACACACACACACACACACACACACACACACACACACACACACACTCACACACTCACTTTTTAAAAAATTGATTCTGCACCTTTTTATGTTACTAAATGAAATCTCTTCTAGTTTTTCTTTGGCAGTCTCAGCTCGTGAGGCCCTTCATCCATCACCTGGGTCGGCTTGGACCGGGAATGGTGATAAAAACAGGAGATGCCCAAATGCAGAAAGAAGTTCTTAAAAAAAATAATTTATAATTTTTGTTACTTGAAAGAGAAATTGCCATTTAAAACCTGTTTCCAAAAGTTTAAACATTAACACATCTTGCAAAAAAAATTATTTGTGGTAAACAAAACTTGTGTGGAGCCTCCTCTAATGTGCAGAGAAGGCACCTAATCTTCTAAAACGTGAATGAAATAAAACTTTGGCGGGGGGAGGCAGATGATTGTCACCTTACAGTCTAATTGTGGCAGAACAATTTAATGACAGCAGGATGAAATCACAGAGATTTTTAGTGCATGTCATTTGTTTCAGTTTATAAAGCCCTAATACAACTGAGACAGAAAAATAAATATCAATTTTCTCAGTCTATGTGTGAAATTACCAGGAATAAAGTAATGGCTATAATCAGGAATAAATCATGGCAGGTTTTAGTAAATTTATTGCATAGTAATATCTGTAAAAATGCCACCAATGTTTATACTTTCTTGGAGATATACATCACTTACCTAACTTAAACCAAAATCAAGGGGCAGAAAGACACAGTGATTAAGTGTACAAACCCTGGGGTCAAGACGCCTGGGTTCTAACCCTAGGCCTGCTACCTCTTTCCTGGCTGTGTAACCTTGTAAAGAACAGTGAACCTCTCTTAACCTCATTTTTCTGTACAGTGGCACTGATGGTAATGATAAGTGCCCCACACAGTTTAAGAACAGTGTGTGTATGTGCAGGGGTGAGCACGGAGGAGGGTCTGCGGAAAGAGCACTTAATAAGTGTCTGACAGAGTCGCTGACATGAATGTATATAATAATTTACTCTTAATAAAACAAAGGTGCATTACCACATAATTACAATTTTTCTTATATCTTGTTATTATATAACAGTGTATCATAATTTTTCAGCATTATTCCATTCCAGTGCACAGTATAATTTGGAGTACCTTTACTGAAAAACACATGTTTATATAACATATGAATTCCTTGGCCTGTGTATGTTTTACTCAATGAAAGAGCCTAGCTCTCTTCCGCATACATCTTTTTGGGAGGGAATTGGTAGAAATAGTTTCAGGGAAGAGGATGGTGTCACTAAATCAGTACTTGGGCTTCACAAATGAATGTCTTGGCTCTGGCTCTGAGTTTATATTCAGGAAGCCATTGCTCCCAGACAGAGACACTAAATGGAACAGACATTTCACTCCCAACAGCAAATTCCTGTTTGTTAATAAGAGTCAACAAGAGACTTGACACATTAAAGAAAATTCATTTAGAACATCCATTAACTGTGAATTTTATAATGGTTATTGTGGCATGCCTCTAGAAAATAATGTGGATAAGCTGGGGGAGGGGAGCTACATCCCTGGTATGAAGCGATATAGGAATGAATCTTTCTACACCCATGTTCATAGTAACATTAGTCACAATAGCTAAAACGTGGAAGAAACCCAGGTGTCCACTGATGAATGGAATGGTAAACAAAATATGGTATATACATACAATGGGATATTATTCAGCTATTTTATAAAGGAAAGAAAAATCTGATACAAGCTATAACATGGAAGAACTTCAAAACATTATATTAAGTAAAATAAGCCAGCCACAAAAGGACAAATACTGTATGATTCTACTTACATGAAGTACCTAGAGCAGTCAAGTTCAGAGAGCTATAAAGTAGAATGGTGGTTGCCAGGGTTGCCGGGAGGGGCAATAGTAAGTTACTGTTTAATAGGTAAAGAGTTTCTGTTCTGGAAGATAAAGTTCTGGAGATGGATGGATGTGATGTTTGCATACCAATGTGAATGTACTTATTGCTACTGAACTGTACATTTTAAAATGTTTGAAATGATAAATGTATGTTATGTATATTTTGCCACAGTAGGGAAAAAAATGTTTTAGTGATTCTTTCACCTATCATCCAGAAAGCAAGCCTTTTTTTTTTTTTTAAGATTTTTATTGGGGAATTAGGGGGATGGGAACAGCGCTGGGGAATTGGGGGAAGGGGAACAGACAAGTTGCTGTCCTTTTGTTCTTCAGTCTAGTTGTGGAGGACGTTGCTTCACTGGCCCAAGTTGGCAACATCATTGTGCTCTTCCCGGGCAAGGCAGATCAGTCACCGGCTTCTGGATGGCCACTCACGGCAGCTGCTGGCCGCTCACGCTGGCTTCTGGCTACACACGGTAGCCCATGGCAACCCACTGCCACAGGGGCTGCAGCCCATGCCGTCGCCGGCGACTCACAGCAACTTAGCTCCAGGTTGAGCTGTTGTTCAGCATCTTAGCTGTAGAGAGCAGTGTCACTGGCCCTCATATGTGGGATCCGAACCGGCGCCCTCTGGCGTCCCAAGCCAGTTCTTATCCATCATGCCACTCGGCCAGCCCCAGAAAGCAAGCCTTTTATACAAACTGATCTCAATAGCATTGACTCCAAAGGGGTTTCTTAGAAATGTTCAGTATATAAATGGTTTAATCCCAAATTAAGTTAACTTTTGGACATAAATTCATAATCATAGATATTGACAAACTAATTGCATATCAGTTAGCCATGCGAAACCACATAGATTGCAACATGGTAATGTAAGCTTTATCAGTTAAGCAGTTTTCCTATCTGATAGATTGGGATATTTTACAGAAGACTGAGAAACTACTTTTCAAATATTTTATTTCTGTGTTCTTTAAACAATAAAAGCAACTTTTAAAAATAGTAACTTTAATTAAGAAATTAATTTGTTTCAACTTAATATTTTCCACAATGTAATTTAAAATGAGATTGGAATACTAAAGTTCCCTTGAATGGAGTTGGAAAAAGTGTATATTTTCCCTTTCAACAGCCTCCCATAGACATAAGTAATGCTGTTTGTATCTGAAGTATATATTATAAAATACCTTCATAATTGAAATGTCTGACTAGTAAGAGTCATGATTATACCTGAATGTTATTTAGATTCTTGTAGAAGCCTTCAATAAAATGTAGCAGCTGGTAAAGCTGTGTGACATTTCTGTTTTTGTTTATATGATTTATATTACTACCCCTTTCGAAATCATGAAGCATTTTGAGTCTTGCAATTATAACTTGTAATATATAATTAGGTAAATTCTATAACTATAGAAGGAATGTTCTATAATATTGGAGCAGTAATTTTATTATTTAGGACACAAATAGTTAGATTTGAAAAACAATCTAATAGATGTAAATAAATTTAGAATTTGTCCAACTGTCCCAAACACCCACACTAATCCAATATGAAGTAAGGCAGAATTTTACAAGATGCAAACTTGTTTTTTAAAACAGCTTTATTGAGATGTAATTTACATAACATAAAATCTACCTGTTTTTAGTGTACAGTTCATTGAATGTTGGCATATTTACAGAGCTGTACAAATATTACCACAATCTAATTTTAGAACATATTCATCGCTGTAAAGATAAACGTCATTCCAATTTATAGTCGCTTTCCATTCTAATCTCCAATCTTAAGCAAAAAAGTAGTCTTTTATATGACTCTATATATTTGCCTTTTTTGGACATTTCATATAAATGGAATTGTATGTATGCTTTTGCAGCCAGCTTCTGTTACATTTTGAAATCATCCATGTTAAAGCTTTATTGGTACTTTATTCATTTTTATTGGGAAGTAATATTCCATTGTATGGATTTGCTATACTTTGTTTATCCATTTACTAGTGAAGAGACATTTTGGGTTGTTTCCACTTTTTTGGTCACTGTGAGTAATGTGAGCCATGAACATTTGAGTGTAAGTCTTTGGTGTACATGCATGTTCATTATTTTGGTACAGTTCTAGGAATAGAGTTGCTGGGTCATGTAATAAGTCTATGTTTCATTTTAAAT